TGCTTTTGGCCAATGCCCCTGAGGCAAGGAAATAGAAGGCGAGCCTCTCTTCTTGGAACGGGAGGAGGGAAAAGACAGGAACAACGTATAAATAGCTGTCATTCGTTTTTAGTCTTCCACAACAGCACAAAATGAAACTCAAGTTAATATCTCCACATATTAGCCTATGATCGAAGTACTCAAAGCAAAACACCAAAGTCTCTTCACCATTTCCTCTGTAATTCCTCTCCCAAAGCCACGGTTGTCAGGATTTGGTGTGCGTTGTGCTGTCTTTATAGGTATTTGGTTGTAGACATTCAATATTTAATTTTAAAACCTGTGTAGCAGGCACTGGAGGGGCAGTGGAGGTCTGTCAAAGCTGGGGGAGAGAGGGAGGGATGTACACAGACAACTGAAACACGCTGGGGTGAGTATAGGACTGGGGAAATACAGTGTACTAAGGGTGGCCCAGGTGAGGGCCTCCAACCCACCCTGACAGAGCAGCAAGCACCAGAGTGTTTGGGGACATGAAACAAGGTCTTTCTGGAGCGTGGGTTGCCGGGGGAAGAGGTATTGACAGGGATGGTAAGCCGTGAGGCGGGCCATGATGGCACCGGAGCAGGCAGGGTCTTTTAAGCGGTGTTTAAAAGTGCAGACTTCACTCTAAGAGCTCTGAGGAGCCTTTTCAGTGCTTCGGAGTGACATGCCCAAATTAGCATCTTAGACCACTCTGGCTTCAGTGTAGGGAACTGGGGGCCGGGGGAGGCTGGGGAGTGGGTTGACCCTAGTTAAGCGGTTATTTCAGTAAATTGGGATAGCAATGATGGTGACCCGTGTCAGAGTAGCCGTGGTGGGAATGGCAGAGAAATGTTTAGGAGATAGAATTGTTAGAATTTGGTGATTGGTTGTGGGCGGTAGCGGTAGGGCGTGAAGGAGATCAGAGGAGAGGAGGAAGATAACATCTGACTTGGGTAACAGGTGGATGGTGGTTCAGGTCCCTCAAACAGGGAACACTGGAGGAACAGTTTTGAGGGATACAATGATTAGTTCAATTTTGAACATGCTGAGTTTGAGGTGTCTCATTTAAGGTTCTTCAGGCAGAAACATCCAGGCCCCTCCTGGGGTCTGGAACTCAAGAGAGGTCTGGGCTGCACATATATAATTAACCACCTCTACATGGAAACCAAAGCCATGGGATTGGCTGGGGTCACCTGGGGGACCATGGAAAGTGAAAAGAGAAGAGGGCCTAAGACATTCCTGGAAGTTACCACCAATATTTCGGGGACTTGTGTTTGGGCCTGTATGCTTTAGGAATGTATAATTAGGAAGACAAATTTTCTTGGTTATGAATTGGGGGAAGGTATCATGTTTTCAAAGTCAAATGGAGATTGTTCTTAATTTTTATTTTTTTTTATTTTATCCTACTTCTTTCCATTTCCTCTGATCTTCTGCTCTCAGCTGTGTAATCCTGGGCATGTTACTTAACTGTTCAGTGCCTCAGTTTCCTCTTTTTTTTTTGGAGGGGGGGTACACGGGCCTCTCACTGTTGTGGCCTCTCCCGTTGCGGAGCACAGGCTCCGGACGCGCAGGCTCAGCGGCCATGGCTCACGGGCCCAGCCGCTCTGCGGCATGTGGGATCCTCCCGGACCGGGGGGCACGAACCCGCGTCCCCTGCATCGGCAGGCGGACTCTCAGCCACTGCGCCACCAGGGAAGCCCTCCTCTTTTTTAAAATGGAGACAATTATAGGGTTGTTATGAGGATAAAAAGAGGTAATACGCAAAAGCGCTTCGAACACTCACTGGCCCACCATATTTACTCAATAAATGTACATATCTCTCAGCAGCAGCAGCAGCATTAGCATGGACAGTGGTGGGTTTGCTATGTGTTTCATTTGGAGTTGCATAACTCCAGAGGGTGGAGTCAGAGCTGGGTTCTAATCTTGTGTGACCTTAATTTCTCTGAGCCTCAAGCTTCTTGCCCTTCTTTAAGTGGGGACGAGCACACCTACCTCATAATGAGATAACATCTACAGGCTCTGGCATGCCAAAGGCATTTACTAATGGCTCATTTCCTCCTCTTCCTTCTTCCATAGTAGTTAGCTCAGGACCACGGAAGTCTGGTGACTGCACCACGTTTTTTCCCCTCTATCTCAGCATCCTACCACGTGGCACTACAGTACGGTACACGTTGGTTCCCCTGCAAAGGCCTGGGGGCAGCGTGGTGGTGAAGTATTTGAAAATCCTTCTCTAAAGACTACTCTTCTCCAAAGTGACTTTCCCCTGTCTCCATTGACCCTCTGGTTAGTGAGAGGCATCTTGGAGTTATCTTGAGAAAGCTGGACCATGGGTAGGGTGTGGGAGCACGCACAGCAGTGGACTTCTGTGGCTGCTCCTGAAGGGAGGTCTCACATCTTTTGTTCTGCTGGAGCAGCTGACTCCTGACTTCTCACCACACCGGCCTGTCCTCTGCAGTCACCAGGGAGATCCTTCTCAAACACAGATCTGTGGTCCCTGCTCTTGCCGACCTTTCATGCCGGACCTAACTGCCCCTCCCAACCCTCAGCGCAGGCCGCTTCCTCTGCCAGGAGCGTACCCTCCCCCCCTGGTTGTGGGTCCACTGGGTGAACACATACCTATTTAGTCCCCAAGGAAGCACTGAGGTCACTCTGCCCTCCGGCATGGGATTGTTGGTCCCCCTCCTCAGGCCCTCCCCCAGGCCCTTGAATGAACCTGCATTGTAACATCACAATACACAGTGTTTGCCCGCTTGTCTTCTGAGCTTTAAAGGCAAGGAGCCTGTCTTATTCACTGTTGACTCCTCGTTTCATTGAACAGTGCCTGGCACCAAGAGGGCCTTCAGTGTTGGTAGAATGAAGAAATGAATGGGCAGACGGACAGACTAATGGAGCTTGTTGAGATGGGGGCTACAGCTTCACTAGAGCCCCCAACCTCATGCCCCAGCCCATTTCTGGGGGTTAGGGGGATATATAACCTTTCTCCCACACTAAACCTCGATCACCACCAGACTAATAGTCCTTAATTTCTGGGAGCAAGAATGGACACCCCTCCCATCTCACCACCCCCTGCCCAAAGATTTCTATTCACAAGGATACAGTTCAAAGTGAGGTAGTGCATATGTATTGAGAACCTACTATGTTCAAGGGACTGCAGTGATACAGTGAGAGGAAATAGCCTGAAAGTGCTTTCAAAAAGTGACCGTGCTTTTATTTATTTTATTTTATTTTTTTGGCTGTGTTGGGTCTTCGTTGCTGTGCGCGGGCTTTCTCTAGTTGCAGAGAGCGGGGGCTACTCTTCGTTGTGGTGTGCGGGCTTCTTGTTGCGGTGCGTGGGCTTCTCATTGTGGTGGCTCCTTTTGTTGCGGAGCACGGGCTCTAGGCGCGAGGGCTTCAGTAGTTGTGGCTCGCGGGCTCTAGAGCGCACGCTCAGTAGTTGTGGCGCATGGGCTTAGTTGCTCCACGGCATGTGGGATCTTCCTGGACCAGGGCTCGAACCCGTGTCCCCTGCGTTGGCAGGCGGATTCTTTTTTTTTTTTTTTTATAAATTTATTTATTTATTTATTTGGCCGTGTCGGGTCTTCGTTGCTGTGCACAGGCTTTCTCTAGTTGCAGGGAGCGTTGTGGTGCACGCGGGCTTCTCATTGCGGTGGCCCCTCCCGTTGCGGAGCACGGGCTCCAGGCGTGCAGGCCTCAGTAGTTGAGGCACGCGGGCTTCAGTAGTTGTGGAGCACGGGCTCAGTTGCTCCGTGGCATGTGGGATCCTCCCGGACCAGGGCTCAAACCCGTGTCCCCTGCATTGGCAGGCGGATTCTCAACCACCGCGCCACCAGGGAAGTCCCGGCAGGCGGATTCTTAACCACTGCGCCACCAGGGAAGCCCTGACTGTGCTTTTAAGTCCATCATTGACATTATCATGTTCGTAAACATCTTCGTAAATTCAAAATTCTCTCTGGTTCCTCTGATGGTTCTTTCTGGAAGTCCTTTAGTCTAACAGCAGTAGCCAGGGAATCGTGGGCAGCTCCCTAGTAGGAAGTTCCCTTTCTTGCCAGAATACACTGGGTTTCCACCATGTGGGAACCCCTGGCCCATAGGATTATCCTTTGTCACAGTACTCTAGGAAAATTAGATTCAAGGGAGTATTAGAATCACCCTGAAGGAGAAGAGTGTGTATAGAAGGGCAGTCTCATCCCTTTGATGAGGGGCCCTCTGGTCTCTGTTAGCATGTATAAGGCCCACTTCCCCTTAGTCGTTGCTCAGCACCAGCCGGGCTAGAGGCTCAGGGTCTCGGACTGGACCTGCCATACCCTCAGAGCAGGAGGGCTGAGCAGGCCGCATCATTGCTGAGGACAGGACAAACTCCTAGGAATTGTGCTACTCAAGGCTTAACTCTTAGCCAAGCCTCATCCCAAAATAGTTCTCCTCCCTATCAGCACCCTGCTTAATCCCAGGATAAGCAAAGGGGGATGTTGAGAGGAGCAAGATGGCACCAGGTGAGAAGACCCAAGCCACAGGAGAGATGGGAATCTCCATGGCAACAGCTGCCGAGGAGACAGGAGGCTCCAGCAGCACCCAGCAGCGCCCTGGGGGAGCAAGGAGGGAAGCAGGATTCTGAAGCCACTGATATAGGCTCGCAGCCTGGGATTTCTGGAGTAGAATTAGGAGGTGAGAGAGGCTGGGGCCAGGAGAAGAGCCCTTTGCAGCTGACCAGTTTGGAAAAGCAGGGCTTGAGGATTGTTGGAACGGCTTTGTAGCAGGCTCTTCGTTTACACACCCCTTGCTCCCATCTGCCCCCACCTCCATGTGTCCTTGGCCCTGGCACCCCTGAAATGACAGCTGGTGGCTCCTGGCTTACCATGAGGCCATCTGATAAGAAGGCCCCCTCTTTCGTGGCAGCAGGAGACCCGCCAGGTACCTGTGAGACCAGTGGGGACGTGCGTGGCTCTCCCAGCTGTGGCTTCTGCTCCCTAGAGCCCCCTAACCTGTCTCTCCCTCTCTCTCTGCAGTCCCACCCCCTGTACCTGTGCAACGCCAGTGACGACGACAATCTGGAGCCTGGATTCATCAGCATTGTCAAGCTGGAGAGCCCCCAGCGGGCCCCCCGCCCCTGCCTGTCACTGGCCAGCAAGGTAGATTCGCACTTGAGCCCCGCACACCCTGAACCCCTGCGCGCCCAGCTCTGGGCTGTGAGAGGTCCTGTGCTCTTTGTCTGCTTGTTTCCTGAGAGTGATGTGCTCAGTTCAGGTTTTTATAACCCATGACTGGTCTGAGAGACGTGGAAATTCAGGCCACTGTCCTCTCCCCACCGGCCATGTGCCAGCAGAACGTTTTGGCTGTCATCTAGAGCATGCGCCCCATCCTAGCTCTTCCCCAATCACCTGGACATTCCTACACCCCTTCCCCTGCCTAGCATCAGAGCAAAGAGGGGGTCAGCTGGAGGGCTTTTCCATCTCTCAGAAATATTCACTGAGCACCATGCAGGAAGAGTGGAAACAGAGGCCATTAAAACACTCTTCCTCCGAGATCGCAAACCGGCAGCCCCACACTTCCTCGGGGCACATTTGTCCTTCATTTATTCATTTGGCAGATGAGTGCCCAGGGTTAGGTAGGTAAGTATGAGTTAGAGAGAGGGGAGGGAGACAGGCAGAGGGAGGAGGGCGAGTTCTGAGGGCTCCGCTGCCCCTCTGAAGCAGCGCGTGATTTCACGTGCGTGTGGGCACCCGGCAACCCGCCGGGATGTGTCCACATGGGAGGTTTTCTTCTCGCCCCTAGAGGACCACTCTCCTGTAGGAGAGATGAGCCATGTGAACAGACACTGGGTGACAAGGAACATGTGGTCAGTGCTCTTTGAGGTACTTAATTAACCTTGTTGGGCCTTTGTTTCCACTACCATAAGACGGGACTTTTATTTCCTACCCCAGTGATCATTGTGAGGATGAAAAGAGTGTACGTCAAGTGCCCAAATAGTCCCTGAGCTAAAGGAAACACAAAGTCAAAAACCCGTCAGGAGTTCAGAGGAAGCACCTTGGCTGCTGGCCTGTGACCTTTTTTCTTTCTGAGGTCACTGCCTGAGCTTCCCGTGCCCACCCCCGCCCCCCGCCCCCTGCACCACACTCACCCCGCTTCCCCTCGCCCGTCTTCTCCCCGCATCACTCTGCGGAACTGCTCTGGCCCCGAGCTCTCTCGCGGGTCAGGTCCAAGGCATCCCTCGGCTCTCTCATCCTTTGACCTGACCAAGTAGCTCCTACCTGGGATCCCCTGGCCCAGAGGAGGACTGTGAAGGTAGTAATGTAGATCTTTGGGCTACTTCCAATATTTTAGACTTGCCACAGGCTTAACTGAACTCTTCATTTTTTTTTGCTTTCGGCTGAATTCTATCAGTTCAATGTGTTAATACAAGTTATCTCATAGGAAAATGAATTGTGCATAATAAATGCAGTTAGTTTGGTAAAACATATTTAAATATAGGGCTTGTGGGAGGCACAGGGGAAAGGTGGGTCTTTGGTGAGGAAATTCAAAAACCACTGACCTCAGTCAGCTCTGCTCTGGCAAATCAATTAGTGTCAGTGGTGGTGTCCCCATCCCCGGAACTGGGGCTCTTGAGCCAGACAGCCCCAGGTCTGGAGCCTGGCTTCTCCACTGCGCCTCAGTGTGACCTGGACATTTTAGCTCAGCTCTCTGAGCCTCTGTTTCCCCATCTGTAAAAGGGGAACAATAACAGGGCTCATATCTTATAGTCGTTATGAGGAGTTGAGGAGACAGTACAGACGCCAAGCGCACAGCAATCACTCAGTAAATGACTGCAGCTGTCACTGCTGCCCTTGTCATTGGCATTGCCATCCTATGCTTTCATAGTTAACAAGGTTGGCCTTCTTCTGTCATGGTTCCCTCTTTTGATCTCTGACCCTCACTGTAGTTCTTCTGGACTCTCATTCTTGTCAGCATACCACCTTCCTCCCCCTACCCAGCCACCCAGACTGGTTTCTGTTTCTTTATTAGCAACTCCACAGCCATCCTTGTGATTCCCCAGGCCCTGAGCCCCTCATGCATGGGCTGGAGCAGTGGCCTTTTGCCTGGTGGAAGGAGCTGGCTCTTGGAGGCAAAAAAGTTGGGTGCAAGGCCTGCCTTTCTTACCACAGAGAACACTCCCTGCTAACCAGGTACTTGGAAGGCTGAAGTCCTGGGTGGGAATTCTGCCTCCACTGCTTATCAGCTGTGTGACCCTGGGCAAGTTGTTCAGCCTCTCTGAGCCTCTGTTTTTGCCTCAATTCAAAAGTGGAGCTGATGCCTGTCTTATGGAGTTGTTGTGAGGAGTAAATGAAATCATGTACGCAAAGCACATGGCGATAGCTGATATGATGATAACTAATACCTAAGAGCGGCTTAATGACAGATACAAATAAGTGAATAAATACTTAAGGAATACTTACTATGTGCCAGGCGCACATTATAAGGCTTTACATGGAGTAACCTATATAGCCCTCAGAGCAGCCCTGTGAAGTAGGTCCTGTTATTAGCCCTCGTTTACAGAAAGGAGAACTGTGGCGCGGAGCAGTTAAGTGACTTGCCCGAAGTCTCACAGCTAATGGTTGATGGCAGATTTAGTACTCAGACCTAAACAGTCTGGGCAGAGTGGGTCTCAATAACGGTTATATCCCCTCTACTTCCTCCTCCCCTTGCTTTCAAGCCTAGGTGAATCCCACCTCTTGTATTGAATCTTTCCTAACTGGCTCAGCCCAGCTGGGCTACTGGGAGCAGAAATCCTTGCCTCCTGGCATGCTGCCAGGGTCTCTGGACATGCTTTTCACACCAGGTTTCATGGAGGTGCCTTGGCAGGGGCTGGGGTTGGGGGGAAGCCAAGGGTCCTTCTTACCCCTAATCCCACCCTCAACCTCAGCTCGCTTTTATATGTTTTGTATTGACGATTTGTGTCAGTCTGTGTGTGTGTGTGTGTGTGTGTGTGTGTGTGTGTGTGTGTGTATTGTGGGGGGCACAATGGAGGGAAGGGCTTTCTGCAGTGAAAAAAAGGGTTTGGAAATGACTGGTCTGTTTCATTCATTTGTACTCTAGAATGTTGTTATCAGCATTATAATCGTACGTATATGCTTTGTCTCCACAGCTAGATTATGAGTTGTTCTGGAGGGCTTGGCCTTCCCTGGCTTGGTGCCCTGAGCACAGTGGGTGCTCAGTCAATCTTTGATGAGGAGGAGATACACAGTGACTGTCACTGTGTCTGGAGAGGAAAATCTAAGGTGCAGGGAAGTGCAGAGCGTAGAAGTGCAGAAGTCCTGGAACGTATTGGCTTCCACTGCTAAAGGCCACGGGCAGCCTGCGCGCTGCTCTTAGAGGGCTGGCTGAATCTTTGCAGCTCCCAAAGAGGTCTCTGGGTTGTTTTTCTAAAGCCCACTCTTCCTGACTGGAGGGCCTGCCCGTCCTCTCTGTCTTCCAGGTTCTGGTCTGGAAGAAGTGCTTCTCTCTCTCCCTCCCTCCCTTTTGCTTGGGTGCGGGTGGACTGCAGGGCAGCATGGGTAGCCCCTGAGTGGGCTGCCATCTGGCCCCAAATCTTGCTTTTTGAGTCCTAGAACTCTGAACACAGGCACCCACTGTCTGAAAGCCCTGTTTGTTTCCCCTGTTGGCCAACCCTCTCTCTTTGATCACTTTTACAACTTTGTAATTATGGGCTGTAATCGGCTGGGGTGTTTGAACATCAGGGTAATTACTTTCCACCGTTCCTACCCCAACCCTTCAAAAGGAGAGGGGTAGGGAAGTAAGAACATCTCCAGAGAAGGAAGTCTCTGCCCTTCCCTCCTGCTGTTCCAGGCTGGGCTGGGCTCACGGTCTCATTCTGGGGATGAGAAACATGAGGCCCTAGAGCACTGCGGATCCAGGAGTCTCAGTTCTGTGACTACTCGGGTGACCTCCCCACCCCTTGGTTAAGTCATGGACTATGAGATTAGCAGTAGTCCTTCTCCTTTTCCCCTAGGGCTGCTCCCATGCCCTGGTTTGGAGGGCTCTGAAGACTGGACAGCTTCTTTTTGCCTGGGGTTGCCTCAGTGGGGGAGACTTCCTGGGAATAAGCAGGCTAGAGGAGGATGGAGGCTGTGGCCTCTCCATTTCTTCAGCAGTTCCATTCTCCAGTCCTGTGAATTTCCAGTCAATTAGCCTGGCGAGCCTGGGCCTGGGCTGGGCCTGGGTGCTGGTAGAGAGAGGGCCTAGCCCAGCTCCTCAGGGAAGGAGGGAGGGAAGAGGGAAGGTACCCTCCTGGCCGAAAAGGCCCCACTTGAGCGTCTCCACCACCCTCCCGGGGCTCTCCTGGCTGCAGGCTGCCTGTTCTGAGGGGCCCTCTGGCCTCTGCGGCCACCTGGGGAGCAGGGAGCAGGGAGCGGGAGCCCAGCCGCTCCCCTGGCCTGCCTGGCAGGAGACCTGCCCCAACAGGCTCTCACCGGGAAGGGAAGCAGAGATCAAAGCGCTGGAGTGTAAGCCCCAGCACTGGCTCCGCTTCCTGACGGCACTACTTGCGGGAGGGTTAACTCCTTCAGTGCCTGCAGGAAGGCCCGAAAGGATCAGCAGGCACCAGGGGCCTGAGGTCCCAGCCTGATGCCTTCGCAAGGTGAGCCTCTGCCCTAGGGAGGAGCGCTAGAGAGCGCTGGCGCCGGGGAGAGAGGCGACAGTGAGGCCTGGGGCAGGGTCTGTCTGTCGGTCCTTTGCCCCTCGTGCCTCCACCGCCCCCTCAGCTCTTATCTCCCTGGTCTTACCCACACCCAGAGCCCCCAGATTCCTGCTTTGTGTCTCTTTCTGGCTCTGCCCTCTGCTTTGCCTGGTTGGCTAGATCCTCTCAGAGCCTTGGCGAGCACGTATGTGCATGTGCACGTGGCACGTGCGCACACTTGTGTCCTTGTGGGAACAGCCCCTCGGGTCCCTCCCAACCCGAGTCTCTACTGCCACCCTCAGGGAGGGGGTGAAGGGATAAAGCACCAGACAGGGACTCCAGTTAGTCCTTGAATAGGAGCCAGAGAAAGAGTTGCAGACTAGAGTGTGGCAGGGAGAGAGAGCCGTGAGGTGGGCTGAGCCTGGGGCTGTCATAGCCGCCTTGGGTAAGAGCAGTGTCCCAGGATCCAGGAACTTGGCCTGAGGTGGGGGACGGGATGCTCTGCAGGCTCCTCTTGTCAGGCAGGGCTGGACCCTGGAAAGCCCAGTTCTGTTCTGAAGGAGCTGTCCACCTCTCTGTACTGGGGACTGGTCACCACACCCCCCCCAAGCCCTGGGGGCTGCTGGTCGCTCCCTGCTCTCGGTTCTCACACTTCTTCGTGAAGGCGGACTGGAGGCACCCTGACGGCAGGGGCTGTGTCTTATTTGTCCTTAGGCCTAGATCCTAGTCCAGTCCCTGGCACCTACTAAACCCTGTTAGGGGTTTGTTCCATTACGAAAGGAAGGACTGAATGTTGTCCTGGAAGGCAGTGGACCTGGGTGAGCTTGGCGCGGGGCAGGGGATCCTAACCCCACCGACCCCTTGCATGTGTTATATGTGGGAGGGTACAGAGGTGTGGTGTGTGCAAAATCCTAGGAAGGCACGTGAGGGGGCGAGGCCGGGGCGTGGATGGGCTGTGTGTCTGACCCCTGCGGGACCTCTGCTCTGTGTCTCTGCAGGCCCGGATGGCGGGGGAGCGGGGAGCCAGCGCCGTCCTCTTTGACATCACGGAGGATCGAGCTGCTGCTGAACAGGTACCTGGGACGTGGGGTGTTTGAGGAGGGGGCTGGACGAAGGAAGAGAAATGTGCCGGGGAAGAAGTCAGGACACAGCCACCCTTGTGGGCACTTTCCCTCCTGCAGCTGCAGCAGCCCCTGGGGCTGACGTGGCCAGTGGTGTTGATCTGGGGTAATGATGCCGAGAAGCTGATGGAGTTTGTGTACAAGAACCGAAAGGCCCACGTGAGGATTGAGCTGAAGGAGCACCCGATGTTGGTAAGCACGCCAGGTCTCCAGCCCCGGCCCCAGCACCTGCTGTCACCCGCACTTTTTCCTGCGGTGACTCTCACCAAAAGCCCTTAGACTCCTGGAGCTAAAGAGACCTTGGAAACCCTCTAGCGCAACTCTGTCCACCAGCTGTGCACCTCTAGGCAAGTTTCTTCCCCTCTCTGAGCTTCATCTGCAGAATGAACAGATTGGGTCAGCTGAGCTCTAAAGTTGTTTTTCAGCATCGTGGTTTCATGGCACAGAGTAGCAGAGCCAGAATGAAACCCTCGTCCCCAGGCCCCCTGAATCCTGGCTGGTATTTCTCCATCGACTGGGAAGCTCGGCCAGATGCTCACTGGGTAGCTTCCACCTTGTAGAGGGGTCCCTGTCCCCTTTTTCCCAAGCACATGGGTCTCGAGATAGTACCTCTCACAGCAGACGTTTGGAGGAGTGCCCGTGGGCAGAGAGGGACCATCTAAGCCCACCTGCAACCTCATCCCCTCTGCTGGAAGACTCAAGGGGCCCTCCAGTTCTCTGTGTGTCTCCTGGGCTCCTCTGTGTGTCTCCTGGGCTCCTTCCAGAAGCGTGACCCTTTCCCTCTCTGCTCACTCCCCCAGCCAGATTATGACGTGTGGATCCTCCTGACGGTGGTGGGCACCATCTTTGTGGTCATCCTGGCCTCGGTGCTGCGCATCCGGTGCCGCCCCCGTCACAGCAGACCGGTGAGGCGGGTGGGCTCCCTGGTGGAGGTGGGCGAGTACACGTGTGGGGGAAGGTGGGGAGCAGGAAGGGCAAAGTGAGCAAAGAAGGTGCCCTTACGCCCGTGAAACAGTTTACACCTAAATCCCCCGGCAAATGACTTTGTTGATTTCCAGCAGCCTCTCTCCACAAGAGTCCTCATTTGTTCATTCATTCAACAAATAGAGTGAGTGCCTGTTCTGTGCCAGACACTGTTCCAGGTGTTGGGGATAGTGCAGTGAACAAAAAGACAAAAGATTCCTCCCCTCGGGGAACTTTCATTCTAGGTAAAATGAATGAGTAAATAAATAAGTAAAATGTAAGTAAATAAATAAGAAAAATACACAATAATTTAGACGGGTGGTGTGTGCCAGGGAGAAAAATAAAATAGAAAAGGGGAGGGAATGGAAAGGGGACAGGGTTAATTTTTAAAAGCAAGGCCAGGGAAGGCCTCATTGAGAGGATGACATTACAGGTAAGACCCTCAACAGGTGAGGGGGTGATCTGTGCAGATACCTGGGGAGAAAGTGATTGAGGCGAGAAAACAGGAAGTGCCAAGGCCTTGAGGCAGAAGTGTGCCCGCTATGTCTGAGGAACAGCAAGACGGTCCTGTGGCTGGAATCCAGTGAGTGAGAGGGCAGAGCAGCAGGTGGAGACAGAGTTAATGGGGCCCAGTGGTATTGGACTGTTAAGGCCGTTGTCAGGATTTTTTTTTCACTCATGGGAGGGTTTTGAGCGGAAGGAGAGCCATGATCTGACCTCACCTGATCTGTGGTGAGAAACCAGCTCCGAGGCTATTACAGGAATCCAGGGGACAGTAGTAGTAGCTTGGATTAGGGAGGTAGCAGTGAAAGTGGCGAGGATTAGTTAGACTCTCCATACACTTTGAAGGCAAAGCTGACAGGCTTCTAATGGACTGATCATGGAGTGCAAGAGAATGGTCAAGAATGGCAACAAGATTTTTGGCCTGAGCAATGAAAAGAATGGAGTTCCCTTTACTGAGGTGGGGAAGACTGCGGGAGGACAGGTGTGTGGTTGGGCGGTTCATGGGATTAGGAGTTCAGCGTGGGGCCTGTCAAGTTTGACGTACCTGTTAGATATCCAAGTTGAGATGTCAAGCAGGCAGTTGGATAAAAAGTTGCTCTCATGGGTCATCGAGGGAAGGAAAATCAATAGTATGAGTGGGGAATGGGATGGGGGCGCTTAGCCTGCTTGGCAGAGCCACGTAGGAACTCCGAGGATACAAACGCCTCGGAGTGGTCAAGTGTAACGCCTCGGAGTGGTCAAGTTACACCGGGATGTAACTGCGTGGCTGGGAACCGAGTACAAGCTGGAGTCCAGGGCTGAGGGAAGAGGAGCCCTTGCCCCATTCTGGCCCCACCCCTCTTCCCAGGATCCCCTTCAGCAGCGAACAGCCTGGGCCATCAGCCAGCTGGCCACCAGGAGGTACCAGCCCGGCTGCAGGAGGGCCCGGGCCGAGTGGCCAGACTCAGGTAGCAGCTGCAGTTCAGCCCCTGTGTGTGCCATCTGCCTGGAGGAGTTCTCGGAGGGCCAGGTAAGGCAGGGCCGTGGTTCACCTCCGTGACCAGGCTGGGGAGGGAGGCTGGAGCTTGGGGGAGGAAGCACTTAAGGCTGGTGTGAGTGCTCGAGCTGCATCTATGTCCTGTGTATCCTGCACAGACAGCCCTGAGGTTTGGTTATTTTCCTGGCTTTCCAGGGAAAGAGAACTACTGTTGGTTGAGTGTGTACCACGTGGCAGGCTCTGCAGTGGATGCTTTAGAGGCATCGTCTCGTTTTAGCCTCGTGACAGTGAGGGGTGGGGGTAGATTAGTTTTTTAGCCTCATTTTACAGCAGAAAACTGTCTGTTAAGAAACTTGCCCAAGGCCGTGCAGCTAAGTGGCAAAAACCAGGTCTACTTGATATCAAAGCCCATACCATTTCTGTCCTACCGTGAGGTCTTTGAAAGCAGATGGCGGCAGTAAGGAGAGGCCAGAGGGAGTCGGGAATGCCCTGCTTCCTGGCCACGACTGTAGCTACAGACAACTCTGGTTCAGACCCCTTGTTTTCTCCAGGAGCTACGGGTCATTTCCTGCCTCCATGAGTTCCATCGTACCTGTGTGGACCCCTGGCTGCATCAGCATCGCACTTGCCCCCTCTGCATGTTCAACATCGTAGGTAGGAGGTGGGCCAAGGACTCCCCTGTGCGCAGGCAGATGGGTCTAGAAGGGGCTTCCCTCTGGGCAAGTGTTTTGCCTTGAAGCTGAGGAGAAGGCAGGACTGCCTCAGTTGTTCTTTAAGCTGTGCACTGCTCGAAGGGGCCTCATCTGAGGAGGCGGCCATTCCACTGCAGTCATCTTTATGATGTATTTTCATGACAACTTTGTTGATTTTAAATCTGACTGATTTGTTTGTTTATTTATTTTTTGCTGCGTTGGGTCTTCGTTGCTGTGCGCGGGCTTTTCTGTAGTTGTGGTGAGTGGGAGCTACTCTTCATTGCGGTGCGCGGGCTTCTTGTTGCGGTGCGTGGGCTTCTCATTGCGGTGGCTTCTCTTGTTGCGGAGCACAGGCTCTAGGTGCACGGGCTTCAGTAGTTGTGGCACGTGGGCTCAGTAGTTGTGGCTCCCGGGCTCTAGAGCACAGGCTCAGTAGTTGTGGTGCACGGGCTTAGTTGCTCCCTAAGGTATATGGGATCTTCCCAGACCAGGGCTCGAACCCGTGTCCCCCGCATTGTCAGGCGGATTCTCAACCACTGTGCCACCTGGGAAGTCCAAGATTTGTATATTTATTATTCTACTTTTCTGGCAATAAAGTATCCTGTTCGAACAAAACCAGGATATTATGACAATCTTCTAAAAGATGAAAGTGAAGTATCTTGAGGAAAGAGAGCCTTTTTCTAATTCACCCAAAGGTGCAGTGTGGGCTAGCAGTGGCCCTGGGTGCAAGTCCCCAAAGGGCTGATGGGAGGAGCAGGGCTTGCCATGCACAGTGGAACTCCCAAGGAGACAACTGACTGGAGGGAGCAAGGGCATCCCCGGGCACAGGCAGGTTAGGAGTGTCCTTGGTCGTCCAAACTCTGATGGAGCTTGCGGGCGATGCAGGCTCAATAAGTACGTTACAGCCACGCTTTTCTGAATGTACCCTCCTTCCGTTTGTGGAGTCAAACACTTGTGCTCTTGGTTCTCTCTTCCAGAGGGAGATTGCCTTTCTCAGTCCCTGGGACCGTCTAGATCTTACCAAGAACCAGGCCGAAGACTCCACCTCATTCGCCAGCATCCCGGCCATGCCCACTACCACCTGCCTGCTGCCTACCTGTCGGGCCCTTCCCGGAGCGCAGCGGCTCGGCCCACACGGCCTGGTCCCTTCCTACCATCCCAGGAGCCAGGCGTGGGCCCTCGGCACCACCGCCTCCCCAGAGGCGCACATCCCCGGGCTCCAGGCGAACCACAGCGCCTGGCAGTGGCCCAGAGCCCCTCCGCGCAGGGCTGGGGGCTGAGCCACCTGCGGTGCACTTTGCAGCACCCTGCCACCTGCCCCATGCCCCCACGCCGGGCCAGGCCTCACGACAGCAGCGGGTCTGGAGAAAGCTACTGCACAGAGCGCAGCGGCTACCTGGCAGACGGGCCAGCCAGTGACTCCAGTTCAGGGCCCTGTCACGGCTCTTCGAGTGACTCAGTGGTCAACTGCACGGACGTCAGCCTGCAGGGCATCCACGGCAGCAGTTCTACCTTCCACAGCTCCCTGAGCAGTGACTTTGACCCCCTGGTGTACTGCAGCCCCGAAGGCGAGCGCCGGCGGGAGGAGGCGCAGCCTAGCATGACCTCTCGGCCCCGTTCTTTGGACTCGGTGGTGCCCACAGGGGAAACCCAGGTTTCCAGCCATGTCCACTACCACCGCCACCGGCACCACCACTACAAAAGGCGTTTCCAGTGGCACGGCAGGAAGTCTGGCCCAGAAACTGGAGTCCCGCAGTCCAGGCCTGCCATTCCTTGGACACAACTCCAGCCAGAGCTGCCTTCACCCGATCCGCAAGCAGCCAGCTCCAGCCCAGCAGCCCCGTCAGGACAGCTCCCCAGCCCGCAACGGTCCAGGGCCCTCACCGAGCCAGCCCCTGGGCCAGCGGACGCCTCCAGCCCCAGCCCTGGTCCCAGCAGCCTCTTCCACGTGCAGAAATCCAGCCTCCCTGTGCGACACACACAGAGGAAACGGCGGGGGAGTCCCTCAGAGCCCTCCCCAGCCTCTCGACCCCAGGACTTGGCCGCACACCGAGTGTGCCAGATTCTTCCCCATTATGGCCCCAGCCTGGCATATCCTTGGTCCCCAGAGGCCCACCCATTGATCTTCGGACCTCCGGGCCTGGACAGGAGGCTGCTACCAGAAACCCCAGGCCCTACTTACCCAAGTTCACAGCCGGTGTGGTTGTGTCTGACTACACGCCAGCCCCTAGGACCATACCCATCTGGGGAGGGGCCTTCCGAATGGAGTTCTGGCGCCCCAGAGGGTAGGCCATGCCCTTACCCACACTGCCAGGTGCTGCCAGCCCAGCCTGGTGAGTTTTCAGGGGAAATGGGTCTGGCGGGGACAGGAGACTAGAGTTGGGTATGGCAGAACGGGTCAAGTCATCCAGAGGGTTGATGGAAGCTGAGAAGGGTCCAACAGGGGTGACATTCAAAATAGTGGACAACTGGCATAGCGTGGGATGCTGGCTCTGCCAGGTGTTAATCCTTTAGTTGCCAGATCCTAGGGAGGTCTCCGGTGAGGTACCAGTGTGGCTGAGACAGCAGAAAGTACTTGGGGTGGCTTGGGGCAGCAGCTCAATCGTGAGTGTTTCAGTATTTTAAAAATTGGTACAGCTGAGCCTATAGCTCAGTATTAGCTGTAAATACAAAGAAGGCCAAGAACTGTTCCTTGCTCTTGAGGAGAGCACGGACAAATAGTTACTGAAAACCGTAATCCCAGGCCATATGAGATCTTACAGGAGAAATAACTACAGATAACCATAATTCTGGGTTATATGAGAAGAGCTATGTGAATGATGCAAAAAAAAAAAAAAAAAAAAAAAAGGAGAGCGATCACAGGTGGTTCCTAGCAGCCCTGTGGTTTTCTCCTTTCCCCTGGGTAAAAGAACTACTAGGGCTTTCCCTTCCATGCATCTTTGTTAATAAGACTGACTTCATTTTCTTGGGGACTCAGTGCGTCCCTATTACTGTATTGCAGCCAATGGTGATAATGTAAATCCTTGACTTTAGCTGGGTATTTATTTGCTCAAATCCTGCTCTTCCTCTTCCGGATCCCCCAACCCCTACTCTCCCCCATCTTTTCCCATTGTGTGGATGACACAGCTCTTTGCCTACAGCCATCACTAGGAGGACCCCTCTGCCCTCAAAGGTCCTGAAATATAAGACTTTGGGGTCTAGGAATCCTACAGGCAGGACCTGAGAGCCGCTATCATCCATCCATTCATTTCTTCCTTCCATTTTTCTTTCTGCCTTGTATGCTTGCTATGTGCTAGGTTCCAGGCTCTGAGGACGTGGAACTTGTCAACCAGGAGACCCAGGTCTGTGGAGAGATAGGCATGCAAGCTGTTATAGTACAGAAAACAGTTGCTTTCATAGGGCCATGTAATGCAGATTTGGCCATGTGTTTGATGGTTCCTTTTGAATCCTGTCATGTGTATACTTTCAGTGCTGCCAGTGCCAGACCACTACCTCCCCTCTCTCTCTCAAACTCGTAACTGGTTTCAGTGCCTCCCTTTCCCCTGCTCTTCAGATCTAATCCACGCCAGGTTCTGTTAACCATGTCTCTGCTAGCTTTACCATATTCTCCTCCAGTACTGCTGGCGCCTGTCCTTGTCTTAGGTGCAGCCTAGAGGTCGGGGCGGGAGCCCCCGGGCTCCTCCCTTCCCTCTCACAGGGCCGTGAAGGCCGGGCCCTGCACATCAGTGTCGTGTCCTGTAGGGCCACGCAACAGTGTGATCCTGCTCACCTACCCTCCATTCTGTTGCCAGGGTCATCCTCCTCAAACAAACTCTCTAGAAATCTTCAGATGTTCTGTTTTGTTCAGAGTAAAGAAAAATCCAACCTGGTTTCGCCTTCAAGGCCCTAGTACCAGCTAGCCCCCATCTTCCTTCCCAACCTTATTTTCCACTCTTCCCCTTCCCTTCCCCTGCTCCAAGCTTTAGCCAAACTAGGCAAACACTTCCTGCAGGTTCTGCAGCCCAGAATATTCTGCTGTCTTCCTGTTCCCATAAATCTAATTCTTCCCTATTCCTGCAGGACCAGTGCATTTATCCCCACTTTCAGGAAGCCCTCCTTGATGCTCCACTTGGACATGACCTTTCTCCTTCCGTGATTCATCTCTTACGACCCCAGTCCTGCCCCCATTGGCATAATTGCCACTTACGTGCACACCTTTTCTCCTACAAGGTTGTCAGGTCCCTGCTTAGTCTTCTTGGTCTTCTGTTTGGCACATGGTAGCAGGCCAGATCCACAAGTGCATAATAAATATTTACTGGGCGAATGAATGAATAGTAAGTATGGGTAACACACTGGTTGCTATCTATGTATCTCTTTCTCTAGATTCATTTTTCTCTCCCCTGTGTCCCAACGGGGGCCACTCTCAGCTTTCAATCTGATCACCCTTCTGGACCCATTCCCTGCTCCTGCCTCTCTGTAGTTCCCTCCCAGCCATCCTCTCTTGCCGGTGGAACAAGCAGAAGACTGGCCTGACCCTCAGTGACCTCTTTCCTCCTCTCTCTCTAAATGCAGGCTCAGAAGAGGAGGAGCTCGAGGAGCTGTGTGAACAGGCCGTGTGAGATGTTCAGGCCGAGCTCCAACCAAGAGTGCTCGCCAGATGACTCAGGGCCCTCCTGAGAAAAGAAAGGACCTCAGAAAACACCCCTCTTCTTTGCCATCCTTCCTGGAACCACTGGCAGGAGTGTGATGGTGGGCGGCAGGAGGTGTTGTCTCCCGCTCCCGGCTCCAGACCTTGTCTGCAGAAGCACCTGCAATGCAGCAAGTCTGTGTCCAGCCAGGCAACCAGCTGCCACCTGTGTGGGTCGGCTCCCCTGCAGGCTGGGACTTTCTGAGAGCAGGAAGCTAGGTATAGGTAGATAGGTGTTATAAAGGTGGTGCTCCTTCCCCAGCCCCAGCAGGTCTCCCTCATTCCAAGCCTCATGTTCATACCAGCAAACGGGTCCAGCTGAATGCATGACCCTTCTCACCCCCTTCCTTGGGAGAGTCCTGCACACCGGCTTTGGCTCCTCCTTGGTAAGGCTGCTGCATCAGTGGCAACCCTGGTTCTTATCATTCTCCTTCTTTGCAAAAAGATCAGGAGCATAGGTGAGCCATGAGCCCTGAAAAGGGGGGCTTTGCAGCTTCACCAGGCAGGGCCTCCCCTGGTGCACAAGGGAGGATGTTTGTCCCTCCTTGTCCGCACTTGTCACATCCACTATATTAAGTCAGAGGGGAAGCCAGGGTGTGCAGTTCTGTCCCTGATGTGGTACAGCACCTTGAAGAAACTGGGTCGAAAGCCTCTGATCGTCAAACTCCCTTGTCACTCCAGCAGCCTCAGTTCCCCTGGGGGTAGGGGTGAGGGTAGTGGGAAGGGAATAGCTCTTCCTTGGGGACCTCCTATCTCAAAGTCCCAAAGTAGGCAGAGAGAAGAGGATTTCTGCTGGACTTTATTTAGGAAGAAGAAGGAAGGAATGAAGGTAGAAAAGGCAAAATTACAGCTGAACAAGGAAGTTTTCTCTGGGCGTTTTCTCTCAGACCAGGGATAGGGAACTGGAGAACAAAGGAGAGGTAATATGGGGCCCTTGGGATTAGACGGCCCAGAGGCCCGGCTTCCCAGTATAAGCCATGCAGGCCAGAGACACACAGGAAGGAGTGGAGTTGCAGCAGGAAGCCTGGCCTGGGCAGCTGGTATCGAGTGGGCAAGGGCTGAGGGGCCTCCTCAGGGTGACATGCACCCCAGGGAAGTTGGACCATTGCTGGCCCCTCAGGCATTATCCCGTTTGGAATGTGAATGTGGGAGCAAAGTGGGCACAGGACCCCACCTGGGAATCTTCTTCCCTCTAAGTCAGTGGGGAACTAGCACCTAGGCACCCACGTGGGTATTTATATCTGAACAGACAGAAAGACGCTTGAATCAGGCACTATGTTGAGAAATGTATTTATTTGCTAATATATTTATCCATAAATTCCATCTGGTCTCGTCGTTTTCTTCTGTCATGACTGTCACTCAGGGTAACAACTTTGTCTTCTACGTGGGCAAAGACAAATTATTCCTGATAGCAGAGGCTAGGCTCTCATTTATGAAAGGACAGAGTAGAGTGGTGGGCTTGGCTTGTAAGCCCCTAAAAGCGTGGTTTAGTGAGATCGGGGAAAGAGAAAGCATGACTGGATTCTCACTGTGGTTCAGTGTGTTATCTGTACTATTATTGTACTGTTTACTTCACACTCTATAATGCTTCAGTGACTTTGTGACCCTGGTACACAAATACTCAAATACCCTGGTGCCTTTTCCCACCCATGAAATGGGCCCACTTCACGGAGTTGTTGGAGAGCTCCCATGAGACAAGAGTGAACTGTGTTCCAAGGTAGAATGTATGCAGTGATAGAGAACATCCTAACCCCAGTCACAGAGCCCATCTGAGCACGACATGGGACGGGCACCAGGAGCAGACCGGTCTTGAAGAAGCTCAGTTTCAATTTAGGAGGCCTGGTTGGGAAGATAGAGCAGCAGGGCCTGAAACTATTTATATCCCAAAGCTCCAATTCAGATAAACACAAATGACTGTCCTCTGCCTACGCACGGGACTACTGTGAGGATCAACAGAGGTGGTGCTATTGCAGGTATGAAGAATTCCACAGGGCCTGGAGAGGCCTTTGCTCTCCTCCTCACAAAGCACATTTTCCCCTTCTGCTTCTCCAGGAAAGGTATGTTAAAGGCGGTCGTTGTCTGGCGCCCAGTTCTGAACCAGAGAGAAAGGCATTTAGCATCTCATAGGGTGAATTTTTTTTTTTTTTTTGCTGTACGCGGGCCTCTCACCGCTGTGGCCCCTCCCGTTGCGGAGCATAGGCTCCGGACGCACAGGCTCAGCGGCCATGGCTCACGGGCCCAGCCGCTCCGCGGCATGTGGGATCCTCCCGGACCGGGGCACGAACCCGTGTCCCCTGCATCGGCAGGCGGACTCTCAACCACCGCGCCACCAGGGAAGCCCCCATAGGGTGAAATTTAAAAAAAAAAAAAAAAGGACACAAATCTCCCACAGATGATCTTAAGTAAAGGAACTGTATCTAAATGCTAAAAGCTGCACAAAGCGTAAATTATCAGCTGGAACGTGGAAACGTACATAAAGAGCTGTTAGAAATAATTAAATATGCATTTTTTTCGGCCGTCTGCTCACCGGCCACCGTTTCTGTGGACGCAAATGGAAACCCAATCACGCTCCCTCCCTGTTAGGAAGGAGGGGGGCGGTCCCTAGATTTCTTCTCGTCTCTGCAGAGATAATCCACAGGGAGGCAGTGGATTCGCTGGCCCTGCGCTTTTAAGACGGGAAGACAGAAAAGAATCTCCGCTGTCATCCAGGATCCTCCAGGGGACCGGCGGCCCGGTGCCAGCGGCCTAGATCAAATGGTCCGAGCGCCGGGATTCCGCCCGGGTCGCGGCGCGCGCGCAGGCGCCAACCGCGCCGCACCTCCCCCACGGGCCCCGCCCACAGGCCCAACGGCTGCCAGGCCTCGCCCTCGCGCCGGCCCAGGTGGCGGGGGTGCGCGCCGGCCCAGGTGACTCCCGGCCGGCCCCGCCTCCTGGCGGGAGAAACCATCTCCTAAGGCGGGTGGAGGGGCGGGGCCGGCGGCCTCCCACGCCGGAAGAGGAAGTCTTGGAAACCGGAAGTGCGGGCATTCTGGGTAGTTTGCTATTTACTTCCTGCGAGGGGAGGTTGTGGCTCCTTCCTTCGCTGTTCTTCCGTGGGAGAAGATGGCCCTGGAGACGGTGCCGAAAGACCTGCGGCATCTGCGGGCTTGTTTGCTGTGTTCGCTGGTCAAGGTGTCCGTGGGGAACCTGGTTGTACGGGCGATGGGGGACCAAGCTGGGGGAAAGTGGGTGGAACAGGGCTACAGGAACAGTGAAGAGAGAAGTCAGGTCCAGGACCGAGGGGGTGGCACGGGGACGTGGGAAGCAGCAGGAGGCCATCGTTTAAGTCGGTAGGAACGCAGGCAAATCTTGCAGCCGTGGGCATGGACGTTCTCACATGCCTTTGCAACTTCAGCTCTCAGCACAGGCCTTTACAGACGTTCAGTGAACTTCTGTTGGAGCCGAAGGACATTAGGAGTTGGAGGAAGGTGGGGATCTGCAGCTGAGGGAGTAGTCGGAGAAGGTGCCTGACCCCACGGAGATTCAGGGAAAGGAATAGGTAAAACGCAGTTGGGAACAAGAGAAGAAGGATTGTGAAAGTGGAACTTAGGAAAGGGGCTGTAGGAATGGTGGGTGGGGGACCTGATGAGACAGAACTAACATAGGGAGCCTTGTACTTGACCAGGTGAAAGTATGGGGAAAGCTGTTTTTTCTTTTCGCCGTGTTTGTGCTCACCTCTCTCCTTTTTTTCCCCTCCCAGACTATAGACCAGTTTGAATATGATGGCTGTGACAATTGTGATGCATACCTTCAGATGAAGGGTAACCGAGAGATGGTATATGACTGCACCAGCTCTTCCTTTGATGGGTAAGCCCTTTAGATTGCTGCATTCATTCTTTTACATTACCCGCATCCCACCAAGTAAATGTGACAGACTCTTGAGACCCTAATCCTAGTTGGTCTCAAAGTTATTTTGAGACACACTAGTCCTGTGCTGTCCAGTACAGTAGCCACTAGCCATGTGTGGCATTGAGTACCTGAAATGTTGCTAGTCCAAATTGAGATATGCTTTACCTGTAATGTGTACACTGGATTTCAAAGACTCAGCACAAGGAAAAAGAATGTAAAATATCTTGATTTTTCTTGTTTTAATCACATGCCATAATAATAATACTTTGAATATGTTGGGTTAAGTGAAATATATTATTGAAGTTAATTTCACCTTTTGTCTTTACTCCTTTACCATGGCTACAGAAAATTTTAAAAATGACTTGCATGGCTTTCATTATGTTTCCACTGGACAGGTCTTCACTAGACTGTTAGCTCATTGCTGATAGGGGCTGTTTATGTCATGCACCATGACCTGGCATAGGGCCTGGAAGGTGATGGATACTTAATACACATTTGTTGAATGTATGAAGATCCTTTTTGAAAATGAAGGGTAAATTTTGGCCCCAAAGCTGATGCTTTTAGATACCTCTAAGAGGCCCTAAGAGAAAAGTTTTCCCTTGGTGAGATTGCCCAGTGCGGGGAAGGGGAATGAGAGAAGTGTGAGTGGCTAGGTCTCAATTTTCCTTCCCCAAGGGAGGAGCCAGAGGGCAGTATTCTTTGGGGGTTAAGTTTCTTTTGGTTTCTAGGCCAGTTAAGGGTCTACATGCAAACTGGGCCCAAACCAGTGCATGCTAAAGTTCCTTCAAGGTGGGCCAACTTCATTCCTCCTTTGTTTGCCTTTAAGGAAGAGTAAAGGATTGAGCAAAACAGATGTTGTCATGGAACCTTTACTTCGTACATATGTACACATTCATGTGCAAACTCAGATACTCCAGTTCTTTCATTTGTTAGCACTGTTACCATCCAGTGCTAACAAATGAATGGACTCCCATCTGTGGCTGCTGTGAGAGATGGCAAGAGTTACACAATGAGATACTTACAAGTAAGAGAGACACAGTGTAAAGTTTTGCATGTTACGGTTTTGGTTTTTTTGTTTAAAATCTGGTAAAATATACATAAAAACTTTTTGCCATTTTTAAGTGTAGAATTCATTCAACGGCATTAAATATATTCATATTTTTATGCAACTATTACCACCATCTATCTCCAGAACTTTTTTTTTTTTTTTTTGCCACACGGCATGTGGGATCTTAGTTCCCCCGCTAGGGATCAAACTCGCCCCCCCTGCATTGGTAGCATGGAGTGTTAACCACTGGACCGCCAGGGAAGTCCCTCCAGAACATTTTTCTTTTTTTTTTTTCAGTACACGGGCCTCTCACTGTTGTGGCCTCTCCCATCGCGGAGCACAGGCTCCGGACACGCAGGCTCAGTGGCCATGGTTCACGGGCCCAGCCGCTCCGCGGCATGTGGGATCTTCCCGGACCGGGGCATGAACCCGTGTCCCCTGCATCGGCAGGCGGACTCTCAACCACTGCGCCACCAGGGAAGCCCCCTCCAGAACATTTTTCATCTTCTCATTTCCTCCTCCCTGCAGCCCCTGGCAACTACCATTTTACTTTCCCTGTGAATTTGATTAGTCTGGGTACTTCCTGTAACTGGAATCTTACAATATTTGTCCTTTTGTGATTGGTTCATTTCACGTAGCATAATGTCTTCAAGGTTTATCCATATTATAGCATGTGTCAGAATTTCCTTTTTAAGCTTAATAATATCCCATTTTATGTATATACCAAATTTTATTTATCTGTGCACCTATTGATGGACACGTGGATTGCTTCTACCTTTTGGCTGTTAGGAATAATGCTACCATGAGCATGGCTTTACAAATACCTGTTCAGGTCCCTGCTTTCACTTCTTTGGGGTATATATCCAGAAGTGGAGTTGCTGGATTATTCTCTGTTTAACATTTTGAGGAACTGCGATACTGTTTTCTATAGCAGCAGCATTTTACATTCCCACCAGCAGAGTACAAGGGTTCCAGTTTTGCCACATCCTTGTCAGCACTTGTTACTTTCTGTTTTTTGTTTTGTTTTTGATAATAGCTGCCCTGTTGGGTGTGAAGTGGTATCTTATGGTTTTGATTTGCATTTCCTTAATGATTAGTGATGTTGAGCATCTTTTCATGTCTTATTGGCCATTTGTATATCTTCTTTGGAAAAAAGTCTCTTCAAATATAATTCAGCTATAAAAACTTGGAAATAACTACAGCTTCTAAGCAAGAAGTGTCTGAGGACTCCCATCTTTGGGCTACGGTTCTGGGTTTTACATTAAGTGACAACTCTGATATTGTTAGTGTCTTACTAAAGGATTGTCAGAGAGTTCTGAAGCATGCTGTGTTCAATTAAAAAACAAAAGGTTATGACCATTTATCAGAGTCTGGGCATAATAGGTGC